GGGGGGGGGAGAGACCCGCGAGTAGGAGACGGAAGCGAATGTCAGGAAGGCGAAGGAGTAAGAGAGAGAGAGAGACACACACTGGGAGACGACTTGTATGATCAGATCAGGCGGGATAAAGGACTCTGAGCCGCGGTCCGTATCCGGCGAGACGTGACAGCGTGCGGCTGCCGCTGCCGCGTGGGTGCCGCTTCTGCATGTGTGTCAGCCCGCCCGGCTCCCTTCACGCATGGGTAGGCCGCTGAGCATATCGTGCCTGTCGTGGCGCGGGTCCGTGCGCGCCGCGCGTGGCTGGGGCCTGACGCCAGTCGGGAAGGAGGTGGTGGGCCGGCCAGCCATAGACTGTCGTCGTGATATCACTTTTCGTCTCAAAAGTTTTCGTAGAGTGCGAAATAAGGGGCGCGCACGCGGGGTCGATTGGGAAAATAGAGGAGGGGGCGCGGGGGCCAGAAAGTAAGTGGGTGGCGGGGTAAAAGAGTGGGGCAGCACAACTCTGCGCAAAATCAGCGCTACACAGCGCTGCCCGCGTTCGACACCACCTCCCCAACCCCCACACCTCTTGCCTCCGGACCACTCGCTGGGGCGTGTTCTGGGAACTCCAACATTCCGGGGAAATCTATCAACGATGACGTTAATAGGACCATCTCTTCATTCTTCTCTACCCTCAGACTCTTTGAAAACCTTTTGTTCCCTGTAAAGTTGCGGAATGCGGACAACCTTTTATTTATCGTGATGTGCACTCAAGAACTGAAACTTTGTTGAAACGCCACAAACATAATTTTCATTGAAACACAGAAAGATTTTCTTCAGTCCAAAAAAAGTAATGGTTAAATTTGACGATACTTTCGTTGTTTAAAAAACTGTTTTCGTGAAGAGAACGGATTTTTGTTACAGAAAATAACGCGTATTTTCTCCAAAGTCCCAAAGAAGCGATTTTCTGGGTCACCCATCCTTCGAGTTCTTAAAAGTTTGCCTCTAAATAAGGGCCCATCACAGGGGTGGATTCTTTTTTAACGACACTATAAAATATAAAGTCGTCGCACACGATGAAATTTTCACGATTAACTTTTCTTTTGAATGGTTCGTCACGCAACAATCCATTTGTTAGTGTTGGTAAGATTCATGTGTTAACACAGATAAACTAAAAACAAAAAGAATTCTGTGTTCCTGCTTTGGTCAAGCTAGCGAGTGGAAGTGTTCCCTGGTATCCATTACCTACGTGATACGATACAACCCCCACCCCCCTACACACACATTCAAACACACACCCAAACATACACACTCCTACAACACACACCCTCACACACGAGACAGATGAGCTCGGAGAAGAAAATAAAGGACGGTTGCCGTTTCTTCACGGGCTCTCGGGCTTCTCCTCGCTTTCACTTTCCGTCCCGCCGCGCCACCGCGCGCGTGCGCACCGGAGGTGTTCTTTGTCAGACGAGTCCGCCGCCGCCGCGGTCATCTCCGCCCCCGCCCTTGCTGGGGACGCCTTTGCGCATCCCCGCGCCCGCGGCTTCCTTCTTCAGCGCCGTGACAACGCTGCAAAGTTACACTGAAGGCTGGCCTTGTCGAGTCGCGGGCGGGGGTGGCGCGGAGAGAGAAAGAGAGACAGAGGGAAAGCCCCCGCCCGGCGGCTGAGACAAGCGGTCGCGTGGGTTTCAACTGACTGCAGGGAGCGCCCCGGAGTGACATTATCTAGAGTAATCAAGGCGCGAAAAGCATGAGGAGGGAGGGAGGGAGGGGGGAAGGCTGTCCCGCGAACACCAGCTTGAGAGAAAAGGAGAGGGAAAGCAGATAAGCGACGACAAACCTTGCGGTCTCGGAGATTGTGCGCGCTCCGACCGGCGCAAAGCTGAAAAAGCCCCCACATGCATGTTATGATGTTATTTTTCCCACGCCCCGGGAGTGGCCCCGGCGACCCGACGCGCAGGGCCGTCGCAGGGACGCTGACCTCCCCGGGGGAAGAGCGCCCCGCAAAGTACACAGACTTTGTGACCACCACAGAGGCGGGCTGCTGTTGGGCCGCTGCTGGGCCGCCCCGGCTCGCACCACCCTTTTTGGGGTGTTCCTGTGGGTCCATTAGTGCCATCGTCCCGCCGTAGGCCCCAGAGCGTCATGCCCTAAGGCATACGGAGAGGAATTTGCGGTGATTATAACGACTTCCCTAGGGCCAGAGCGCCGGGTCTGCCGGCCCTGGGGGCTCCACGTGGCTTTTTGGGTCACGGCGGCTCGAACATGGCCCGCTGCTGCTGCCGGCGCCCGTTTCCAGACCCGTCGTCCGCTTTTTCGGTCCCCATTTCCCCCGCCTGAATCACACTCCACGCCATCCCCGCTCCGCCTGCTTCGTCTCCACACGCCCCCCAGGCCTCCGGCTCCAGCCGGCACCCGGGCCACTCCGGCCGGCACCCAGCCACTCCGGCCGGAAGGTTACCAACGAAAAGGAAAAATATACACGCACAAAAGATGTTTGTGGGGGACTTTAGAGGGCGCCACGACAGCCTCAGAATATTGATTGGGTCATTAGTAGTGTCGGCTAACGATTTATATTATGTCTTAAAAAAAAACAACACAATTTTCCCATCTGTCTCACTCGGTTAACTAACAGTGCCAGTGTCCCACCCCGTCCAATACCCAGCACTTCTCTAACAACTACAATGTTTACAACGAAAACGGGGGAAAATAAAACAAATTGAAACTGAAGGGACCTACGATATAGATAGATATAATGGAGCAAATGGCAGCAAGAGCAATTTAACTGATACGCCCCAGGAGGTTTGTGTTTGAGTTTGGGTCAGCGCTATGAATGACCCTCCGGTCGAAACTTTTTGTCCCGCAGCCGGTTTCAACTGAAATGAGAACGAGGAAGTTTGGCATAGTGGGGTGAAGGTGCGTAAAGGTCATTGCCGAAATGGCACACAATGGTGGCAGCAGTTAATATCCTGATGGAGCACCACCTCTTCTGCGCCCCTGCGTCGAGTACGGCTGGAGTCACGAGCACAAAGCGACACTTACAGCTCTCTCTCTTACTCCCTCTCCTCTTCCCTCCTGTTGCACCGCGTCGCTCGCTGAGCGAAGCTCGTAAT